CCTTATGCAATATCAATTAATTGCTATACTTTTACTTCTGGAGTTGCATAGTCTATTTCAACTCAGGTGACTTAGCTACCAGTTTACCTAAACAATTAAATTCTGTTAAATCATTTCAAATTAGCCTTAATTTTGCTTATTCCCTAGTGGGTGATATTATCTTCTACTAGAACAAAATAAATCTATCACCTTCCAGGAAGGGGAGAGAAGCTGTGTTTTACGTTTAGTCTTAATCCTAGCTTCAAACCTCAATGTCCACTAATATGTTAACATACCTTGAAAATTTACAGTAAAGGTATTAGACTTCAGTTACAAATTTCAGTTTCTAATAATGCCATAAGTTTCTACAAACCAGGAAAAAGGTTTCCTTCCTTTTCTTGCCTGTCTTTAACTCTGCAGGTTCCAACCTGGTCAGGGTTGTGAAGGCAAGAAACTCCCAGTTTTCCCTCTTTATCTCCCACTGAAAGTCTAATTTAAAAAATCAGTGAGAGTAAGTCCCTGCTCAGTATTACAGATAGTTAGGAGAGAGATTTTGAGGCTTCATTAGCCTTCCCTTACCCGTCTAAGCTGTTTCATAGTTTTGCTGTCTCACAGCGGTTTTTAATGAGTAACGAGGTATTCCCCTTCAAAGTTCTCCAAGGTAAACAAGACCTTGTTCGGGCTATAGAATTTCTGAAGTGGAAGCCCCACCGAGCCCACCTCACTGCCCACCAAATACAAATTTCTCTCACTAATCTAAGGTCCTCTTAAGTGAATGAGGGTAAAACTAATGCCCCTGTTCACCAGGATATCTGACTGGCTACTAACCTACTGGTATCTAGGGAGAGTTGAGGAGAAAGACAGGAAGAAAAGGAAAATAGTAAGAAAAAAAGAAAAAGCTTTACCAAAGGACCACAAGTCTAATTTTAATCAAATTTTGAGTTGCTATCTGGTCAGTTCCTTCTGCCTGTTTGCAAAATTCCAGTTTGAGATACCAGTTTTAGCTCCAGTATTGACTGATATATAGATCAGTTCTTTGATGTATAAATCTTTACCTTCCTCTTTGCCCTCTGTAAAAATTTAAATTGTACGCATCCTGCTTTGCCCTATATAAGATGATTGAAAATGCTACTTGTGCCCCCCGATTTGGTGCCAAGGGACCGTGCGTGGAGTATATAATAAACCTGTTATTAAAATGTCTCTCTGTGATAAGTATGATTGACAGCAGCATCTATCAACATATCCCTGAATATTTTTATACCAGAGGCTTTGTCAAATGATTTGCTAAAATCTACTTACTGCTCACCAGGTGCAAGGCTCCATCACTTGAGGTTATACTTGTTCATATTCCCTGTTTTCTCGGACCCATTCCATCTGCTGTTGCTTCTCTTTAGCATATACCATACCACTAGCTGTCTGGACCCGACTGTCCAGTTGCCTCCCAATGTAATACAACTAAGCACCCCAAGCTTAGACCCACTGCCAGCATGAGCAGCACGTCACTGACAAACAGAAGTAACCTTGTCCCCATTATCAACAAAACACGTTGCATCACAATCATTTATGCCTAGACTGATTTTTTCCACCCTTCTCTAAGATCATAGTTGATATTCTACCAAGTTTAAGAAGGCTGAAGATTCACAGCACAAATATAATCCAAGAAAACCTCAACACCTAGCCCATGACATGAGAGATTTAAAGGAGAGGAGGTTAAGATTCTTAATTCTGTCCTAGTGGTCACAATTCTATAACTTGCCACATGATGGCAGCAGGAGCTCAGGCCATATCCATAGAAGCTAGTGAGTGTCTTGTGTGGCTCATGATTGAGAGCTGGAAAGGACCTTAAAGATAACGAGTCCTCTCTATTTAATAGGTCAAGAAACTGAGACTCAGGGGAAGTACTTATCCAAGGTCATACAGATAGTGAGTGTTAAGTATGTGTGTCCTTAGGGTTAGGAATGTATATAAGTCAAGGAAGTACAAGGTCTTTTGTACTGAGAGATCATTACTTAAATCCCCTTTATACAATTCTGGATGAATGGTACCCTTTGATTCATGCAGCATGATCAAGGTTGCCAATTCCGATATGACCATGTTTCTTTTGGAACTGGTATTAATTATGATTAGTCACTGGGGAAGCGCACTGTCTGTGTTTTTCTGACACCAGCTGTATTTTCCCCTTCCATTCATTCCTCAGAGAAGCAGTATGGTATAATGGAAATGAGGCAGCTGGATGACTCAGTAGATAGAGAACTTGTCTTGGAGTCAAGAAGACCTGAGTTCAAATCTGGCTTCAGATATACACTAGCTGTGTGACCCAGGGCAATTCACTTAACCCTGTTTGCTTCAGTTTCCTCATCTGTCAAATGAGCTGGAGAAGGAAATAGCAAACCACTCCAGCGTCTTTGCCAAGAAAACCCCAAGCACAGTATGATCCACAGGGTCACAAAGAGCCAGACTTGATTGAACAACTGAATAACATACTGGAAATGAACTGAGATTTTAGAATCAGAACACTGGAACAGAAGCCCAGACTCTGCTGCTTTTTAGCTATAAAAGGCAAAGTAGTAGAGAGACCTCGGCTCTTCAGACTGGAAGACCTAGAGACAAGGCCCAACTCTGTCACTCACACCTGACAGCTTCAGTTTACTTATCTAGGAAGTTTCAATAATGGACATTCTCTCCACCAACAATAGATGCCAACGCACGATCTAGTGGATAAGTCCTATGACCTTAGCGATTAAGTGACTTGCTCAGGGATGCCCAGCTACCAAACAACAGAGGTGGGATTTGAACCCAGATCATCAGGACTCCAAGTCCTGCTCTCTTATCCGTTCTGCCATGCTGCCTCTGTTCTACTCCTCTCCAGATGAGTTAAGACTCATCTAACATGGGGATAGAAATATTTGCACTACTTACCTGAGTTGTGAAGAAAGTGTGTTGTTAAGTGCCACATAAATGTGAGTGGCTGTTACTATTATTATTATTATTATTATCAATACACTGAGAAGGAAAATAACTTTCTGGACAAATAGCCAGAAACTAAACTGTGCCACCTTGGGCTACCTCTCTGAATGTCCTCATCTACAAAAAGACACACTCCTACTATTCAACTAAAAAATCTAAGAGTCTAGTGAGCCCCACCCTATTTCTGTTAACAGACTGAGTATTCACTGGCAATGGTGAGAGATTTGATGTGTGCAATGGAACAAGCAGCCAGATTTCTCTGAATTAATTAAAAGTCTGAATATGGTCATTTTAATTCTACCACAGACATTTTGTTTTCTAGTGATACTGTGGGAGAACAATCCTTCTGTCCAAAAGTGCAGTTATATTCAGTTGTGTCAAGGTCACCTAATCATCTGTTCAAGAAGGGACCTCGGAAATCCTCTGATCCAAAACCTTTTACTGATGAAGAAGCTGGGGCCCAGAAAGGAAAAATGATGTCTCAAATCATATAAGGGGGAGTAAAGAGCAATCTTCTGAACTGGGTCAAACATCCAGAAAGCCTTAACTAATGACTGGATTATCTCTCTACTCAGTGAAACTCTCTGTCTTCCTCTCTCTCTTTCTGTCTTTCTCTCTCTCTCTCCCTCCCCCCTGTTTCTTTCTCTGTCTCTCTCCCTCTCCCTCCTCTCCATCTCTCTCTCTCTCTTCTTCCCTCTTTTCCACTCTCTCTCTCCTTCCTCTCTGTCTCCATGTCTCTCTCATATGTGTGTGTAAAAAAGAGTTCTATAGTCTGTGATATGGTATCCCTGTACACTAATTAATTTTATTAAGTATCTGTTGGATACTCTGTGGAATCTTTGGAGATCACAATAAGAACACTTCTATCTTTATGAACTCCATTCCTTTTTTTTAAAAAAAAAAAAAGCCACTATCACATACTGTGTAACTAATGGAAAGCCCAATGGACCCAGATATACACTGAGAGACCCATAGAGAAAGACGACATATTGTAAGTTTCTTCACTGGGAGCTCCCTACAGTATTGAAAATAGAAGCTTAGGCTTTTGTTTTGTTTTGTTTTCTTTTCTTTTCGATGTGGTAGAATAGAACTGATTATTTGGTATCAGAGAACCTAAGTTCAAATCCTACTTCTATCTCTACCTATTTAGTCTTGGGCAGGGGTATATGGGGTGTTCAGGGAGGACTAGCACCTCTGGTGTGGGGGCTTGCTGAGCCCTTTCAAGGTTGTCCATCCACTTTTGATGTCCATCTATCCCAACTCTCACCTGTGGTTCCAAGAAGCCTTAGCTTGAGCAGCAGTCACACCCTGGTACTCAGGTAAAATCGTTTCTGCAAAAGGGCTAAACCAGGTTTAAGGTAACCAACAGGCCTCCAACTTGTTTCAGTCTAGGGGTGCTGGGAGCCCCAAAATTCAAGGGCAAAAGGCGCAAGTACTGCCTGGAAAGAATTTGACAGCTCAAGCCTTCTTTCAGTCAGAGACAAGGTTTATTGTTTCACCAATAGAAGTGGGCGGGATTTTAAGAATCTTGAGCATTTGGTAGACTAGACTGACCTCTTTTATATGGAAAAAAAAGATTGTGGGAAGATTTGGATGGGATCTAGGAGTGGCCAATAGGCTGGGGTGACCCAGAGGTAACAGACAATGAAGGGCTGGGCTGGGTTAGAGGAAAAAGAGAATTGAAGGTCAGCGCCACAATGAAAGGACAGTTAAAAGGATTATTCTGGGATGAGCCAATGCCTCAGGGGAACGCCAGGGATTGGGCCATGTGGGAAAGTTTAGGGGCTTTTCCTTTTTGGGGTCCAGATCCCAAAGACATGGTCTTTTCCTTTTAGGGGTTCAGATCCCATCCCCATCACAACCCAGTGGTGAGTTAGAGGGATATCTACCCCAAGCATGTGAAGACTTCCCCCTACTCCCCAGTGGAATGGGCAGATGAGAATGATTTGTTCCAAAAGCCATGAAGGTGGCTGAAGCAGGTGCTGCGGAGTGCTTAGAGCTTGGTTAGACCTCAAAGACACCAAGGTCATCCACTGCATCCTGAGTTATAGCCAGTCATCCTGACTTCTGTCTTGCAGCTGGACTTGGAGGACTCTGGAAGAGAAAGTGAAGCTGATGACCATGCTTCATTTAAATCCAATTCACTGTCAAATCAAGACTTCACACCATGATGTTGTTGGTCCTCTTAGAAAACAAAGGGCGAACAACAACAGTCTTGGGCAAATCACTCTTCCTGGCTTTCAGTTTCTTTGTCTATAAAGTGAAGAGGTTGCATTAAATTATTTCCAAGATCTTCCTACTTCTAAATTTAGGATCCTATTAGGGACAATTAAGCCAAAAGAAGCTAGGGATGGCCCTGGTTCCATGACAAAAGAATCCGGAGCTCCTATTTGCAGATGTTAAACCTGACAGGTTTTTTATTCATTGGTTCATTCATTCCACAAACACTTATTAAGCACCTGGAGAAGATGCAAAGTTTAGATAGATGTCCCTGACTTCAAGAAATTTACATCCTAGTAGGGAATAAGATGCAGACACAAATAACTGCCAGAAGGAACCTAAAATCATTGCCAAAGATTATTAACTTCTTTGAGCAAGAAACTTAAAACCATTGGGGCACAGGTGGTGATTTCATCACAGCTGCTCACTGAAGACAAGAGATTTAGAGAGAAAAATTGATTTGGGAAGTGAACAGCTGGTTAAGGAGATGGTATCTAATATGAACCCCAATTTATTATCTAAGAAAGAGAAGTGAAATTGGGATACATGAGTTTATGGTCTAATTTCTCTCATGCTGGCTTGACATGCATTGCATGGGAGTTCAGTCCAAAACTGGGTTCCCCTAAGGAAGCCAGTTCAGAACTGGCTTGGTTTCGGATTTTGGGGTATAGCCTTATATGTCCTTCCAAGAGTTGGTGTTCCCAAGGGATGCCAATCAACCATGATTGGTCGACACACTAGGAGGTGGGTCATATCAAAATGTCACAGGGGCCAATATTGCCAGCCATCAAAGGAAATACCACCCCAAGTCTTGGGAGTCTGTCTCCCCCTAAACCTGAGTAGGACAAAATCAATCCAAGCCTGGGTTGGAGTTTGACCAAGATAAGAAGATTCAATGCAATCTCATTATCAGAGATGTTCTTTTGAACAACTTTGGACAGAAGGCTGTCAGGGTGGAGCTCTGAGTCTCCAGACACAAATAACCAAGAGAAATCATTTTTAACAGTAAGAATGGGGTTTGCATTTCTGAATCACGGCTCAAACCATAGGAATGACAGTCTCCTGGATATGAATTGGAGTACATCTAATGAAGACCAATAAGAATGCATTTGCCTGATGTCTTGCAAACTTAATAAAAAGCACTTTAAATCAAAAGGGTGGCAGAGGGTGAAAATTTTCTACATATGTCCATTAAGTTAGATTCCATACATCTGGAATTTCACAGCCTTTGACTCTGACAACTCTCAGATGCAGAGCTTGGTCTTCTTGGTAAGAGATTTCACCTTAGCTTTTCAGGTAGTGTCATAACCAAACAATAGTCACTTGCCTAGTAATCACCAGACAATTTAGGACTTCAGGGTTCCCAAGGTTTTAAAAATTTAGGGTCTTACATGTGGGTCTGTACGAATAAATGGGTTGGGAAAAGATATAGAGGTAATCTATGCCCTAGGGACAAGTTCATTGTCTCCTGGGCAGTTCAGCAGATTTTCTGGCCTTTTCATATGCAAACAAGTTATTCAAAGCCTCACATCCTTTAGTGGGTTCAAATAGACTACTCAAAGTTTTACAACCTTTTATAAAGTGTTTTATATCCTTTTATAAAATGATCTACTTACACATGAAAGGGGTTCCTCACTCTTTACAAAGTGCAAATTCAGTCTGAATGGAAACATACCCTTATATGGTATCCGTCTTCTTGCTCCTTTCTGAAAATTTGCCAGTCTTATTTTACATTAAGGTTAATTGGATGGCACAGTGGATAGAATGGTGGGCTTGGAGTCAGGAAGACTCGTTTTTGTGAGTTCAAATGCTACCTCGGACACCTAGCTGTGTGATCCTGGGTAAGTCACTTAACCCTATTTGCCTTAGGTTTCTCATATGTAAAAATGAGCTGGAGAAGGAAATGGCAAACCACTCCAGGATCTTTGCCAAGAAGACCCCAAATAGGGTCATGAAGAGTTGGATACAACTGAAATGACTAAACAACAAAAACTTCACATTAGCATGACAGATTTTATCAAATGTTTAGCTGAAATCCAAGTATACTAAGTCTATAGCAGTCCCTTGATCTGAACTGTTCAAAAAGGAAATGGGGTTAATCTGGCATGACCTGCTCCTGATGAAGACATGCTGGCTTTTAGTGATCATTGCTTCCCTTTCCAAATGCTCATAAAGTATCTCCTTAATCATATATTCTTGAATTTTGCCAGGAACAGACATTGAGCTCACTGGCCTCTGCTAAGCAGCTTCTACCCACTTTCTCTTTTTGAAATTGAGGTCATTTGCCCTTCTTCAGCATCTCTCCAGTTCTTTCAGTGGAAAAGACTACTGATAGCAGCTCAGCAAACATCTGTCATTTTTTCAATAGCCTATTGAATTGAACTCATTGAACAAGGTAAGGTGGTCTCTTACCATATCTCTTACATGGCCTGACTCAGACCAGCCCCCTCATCATCAAGATGCAGTATTGGAACAAGATTAGGCACCCTTAAGTCACTCAACAGTTAAAAAAGGATTTACTCACCCATAGCAGAGAAGGATATTCAACATGGTTAGTCAACTTGATTCATCTGAGCAAAATTATTTTGTCTGAGTTATGCATCGTGATCCATCATCCAAACAATAGAGCATACAGGGAGCTCCTCTGGCTGGTTGGTACTCAGGCAGTAAGGAAGTGACCTCAACAATCTAAGCCTTTTAGTCCCCAGAACCAACCAAATGTGGAGGAAGGTCTCAATATCTTTTAAGGGGGAAAAAAAAGCCTAATTTGCATAGGGAGAGGGGTCAGTATATTGCCCCTACAACAATTCTTATCAGAATTTTGAACTTTGTTCATCATTGTTATTCTATCCTCAGTGCAAAGATCATTTTTCTGGAAAAAGAAAATAGAAGCAAAGTAAGTGTTGCATAGTCCAGCTCATTATCATCCCACCCAATGCCAACAGCAATCTTAGTCTTTCTTTGTTCATCCTCTTGTTCCAACCTAATTTAAAACCATGCCAAACCAGCAGATCATATGCATTTTACACCCATGGATAGGAGATGTATTCTTAACCTAACAAGAGATAGAGGCAATTACAAAAGTTAAAATAGATTATTTTTGATTATGTGAAATTGAAAGCTTCTGTGCAAATAAAATTAATGTATCTAAGTTAAGAAGGAAAAGACTGAATGGGAAAAAAATCTTTATATAAAATTTCTCAGGTAAGGGTTTGGTATCCGAGATAAATGAACAACTAACAGATAAATATGTATGTGTGTGAGAACAAAACCCATTTCCTAACAGATAAGTGATTAAAGGATATGAACAAATAGTTGTTAAAAGAATTATGAACTATCAATAACCATATGAAAGAATGCCCCAAATCACTAACAATAAGAGAAATGAAAATCAAAATAGCCCCAATATTTCATCTCATTTCCAACAAATTAGTAAATGACAAAATACTGGAGAGATTGGAGGGAGATAGGGACACTGGTGCATTGTTGGTGGAGCTGTGAATCGATACAATCATTTTGGAAAGAAATTTGGAATTATGTGAATAAAGTGACTAAAATGAGCACCCCCTTTGACCCAGAGATTTTGCCACTATGTATATAGGTCATTGATAAGAACAAAATCCTCATATATACCAAAATGTTTATGACAGCATTTTTTTGCCATAGCAAAGAATTGGAAATAAAGTAGATACCAATTCTTCGGGGAATGGCTGAACAAATTGTGGCATATAAATATTATTGTGATATAAAAAATTATGAACATGATGAATATAGAGAAGCATGGAAAGGTTTACATGAGCTGATGAAGAGCGAAGCAAACATAGCCAAGAAAACAACATACAATAATGTAAATGGACAGAACAACCACAAGAATTACCAAGGTCAAAAGCCAAAGCTGCAAAATTACAAATAACAAACACAGCCTCAAAGAAGAAATATGAGAAGATATTCCTACTCTACTCCTTTCCAGAGGTGGGAGGTTCATAAGTGTAAAATATTGTATGTATTTTCAGACTTTTTCAAAGTATTGATTGGTTTTGTTGGGTTCTCTCCCTCTTTTTCTTTAATAACATTCTTTGTTACATGGCATATCTCTCTGGGAGGAGGAAGACAGGGGATGCTGGGAAAATTTTTGGTGATGGAAAAACACAAGATATCAGTAAAAATTTATTAGAGCAAAACAAAAAAATACCAAACTGTGGGTTTGTGCTTTGCATAGGTAGCAATCATGTTTCCTGATGAGTCATTTCCCAGCTTGAGTATATCCTATGCAGAGGGGCCTCACAAGAACCCCTAGCACCTGGGTCTGCATTGGAAGGTAGAAATGTAAGTTGGCCCTGCTTCCCCTAGCAATGCAGAAAAGTCAGGAAAAGTTTCCTGTGAAACTTTATCATTGTAATTAATAAGAAAGGATGTTAATATAAAACAATAACCTTAAGTGATAGGTATTAAACTTCTAGAACTGCAAGGAATTTAGAGATCGCCAACCTAATTCCTTAATGTTTTAAAGAATGAAACTATGGCCCAGAGAAGTTATAAAAATATTGTCATCTTTGTTTTATAGATGAGGAAACTGAGGCTCAGAAAGGTTAAGTGACTTACCCACTTACGCTCAGCCAGTTGATGACAGAGCTTCTTTTTCCTATTTGTCTTTTAGTTGTGGTATGTGGGATTACATGGGGCAGGCGTGTATGGTCCTTATGGAAGTCACCTGGCTTAAGATCCACCTTAGCCCCCATTCAGAGGCTGAGAATTTCTCATGCCCAACACGCTGAGACTCTCATGCCCGCTCGTCCCTGTGGGCGTTACTGATATTTGGGTTCCTTGGGAGTCAGGCCTATATGCTTTATCTCTAATAAACTATTTCTCTGGCTGGAAGAAGATTTGAGTTGAATTCTTGCAGACAAGCCCGCGTTGCGATCTGGGGGGTCCCAGCACCCCAAAACCTCTAGACCTCTTCAAGAGCGGTTTTTGCCTTCTCACGACAAGAAGAGAAAAGAGTGAGAGATCACCTTCTCAAACCTTTTATATTCACACTTAGTTGCAGTCTGACAGCATTAAAAAACTTTCCGTTATCACTCAGTAAGCCCACAGGAAACAGTCAGGGGATGGCTGCATGTGCTCTGAGGGGAGGGGAAGCAGTCCTTCATTTTGTACCAAATTTCATCTCATAATCATCAAACTTTTTTTTCCAGTCCAAAAATTCGTTCATAACCTTTCATTGTGTAATTGTCACATGGTATAATTCTGTTTGTCATACTGCTTAAAAGGTAAACAAAGCAGCAATGTGTTCACCAGTGGAAAGTGGATACACATTTCTCTCTCGAGCATCTATCCTGCCTGACTGTGAGCAATCAACCTCTTTAAGGAGTGAGAAGGAGCACGGCCAGCATGTGTCTCTCTACAGCTCACCCCCTAGGGCCATCCTCAGCTCTCCCCTCTGAACTCCAGATGTGTTGGCCCCATCTTGGTCCCTTGGCTTCTCTCCTCTGTATCTCACCATCGTCTTCCCTATACCTATTGGGCTCCGATGTTCCAATATCGATATTCCACTGTTCTTCTGGTTTGATAGTCTACTGCATAATTCCTGGGTTGTTTTTGTTTTCTTTTTGGAGGCAATCAGGGTTAAGTGACTTGCCCAGGGTCACGCAGCTGATAAGTGTCAAGTGTCTGAGACCGGATTTGAACTCAGGTCCTCCTGACTCCAGGGCTGGTGCTCTATCCACTGTGCCACCTAGCTGCCCCATAGTTTCTGGGTTTTTTTTTAACATAGTTTGTTGCTCCCAGGTCTCTCTTTCCTCTCACTCCCAGCTCTGGTATTTTAGCTCACTTTCTCTTCAATCCTACTTCCAATCATTTTCAGGAGTTATGTATTACTTGAATTGTTCTCCATCTTTTTCATATGTGTTAGCCTTGCCTCCCCAAAAAGATTACAAGCCCCTTGGGGAGGGGTAGGAGCCATGGCTTATTTTTCTATATTCCCCCATGGTAATGGGCACAAAATCAAATCATTTAGTTGAAGAAGTAGAGACTTTGGAAAACATAAATGATTTGCTCATAGTCACATGTTGTGTTGCTCAGTTGTTTCAGTCCTGTCCAACTCTTCATAACCCCATTTAGGATTTTCTTGGCTAGGATATTGGAGTGGTTTGCTATTTCCTTCTCCAACTCATTTAGTAGGTGAGGAAGCTGAGACAAACAGGGTTAAATGACTTGCACAAGGTCACACAGCTAGTAAGTACCTGAGGCCAGATGTGAACTCAGGAACACTCATCTTCCTAACTCCAGGCCCAGTGCTCTGTGCATTATGGTGCCACCTGGCTGTCCCAGAATTGTTGCTAACCAGAATGACTGGTAAATAGAACTTTGTCAAAGGGCTAGCATTATGGGTTATGCTTTAAAGGATGGATAGGAATTCAGCAGGTGAAGAGAGAGGCAATAAGGT